GTAACAGCAGTCCTGCGCGATGATGTCACTGCGGGGTGTCACCCCCTCCTCAGGACACCTCTGCCTGGCCACGCCCCTTTTCATTCATTGGATTGCAGTTCTGTCAATCATGGAGGCTGAGCATCACATGTGGGCGGTCTGCATGCAAATGCTGCCGGCCTGGGAACGCCCACCCCCCCTCCAGGCTGACGCCCGCCCATCATTTTGTATATTTGCATAACCCCTCCCACTGCTGGCATCAGGGCTAAGGGCCCATCATTTTGTATATTTGCATAACCCCTCCCACTGCTGGCATCAGCGCTAAGGGCCCATCATTTTGATATTTGCATAACTCCTCCCACTGCCTGCACTGGGGCTGAAGGCTCCTGAGAAGCACAGGGACCCGGTGATGACATCACTGGATCTAAAATGAGGCACGCAATGAAAATTGAGGATTGGGGAAGGGGGGAGGAGTCAGCGACGGCCAAATCTGACGGCCATTTTGGTGTCACCGCCTCTGAAAAGTCGGGCGCTCGGTCATAGACTGGAGAGGAGGGGACCCGGCGGCACACCTCAGCCGGGTGAACGTCCCCTTCTTCCAAGATGGCCGCCGGCAGGAATCAAAAAGATGACCGTGCATGCGCGGTGACGCCGCGCCGCGGTTGTCACCTGGCCTCCGCTCTGGGTGACACCCGGCCGCGGGACGCTCCTGTATGCGGTGCCCGGGCCGGGCTGATTGGATGAGTCAGGTCGGTCCTCATATTACATAGTTTCGGTCAATCTAAAGTCGATCGTGCAGAGATTGTACAATCAGATTGCGATGTGTGTGGTTGGCTTAGAGGTAACCAAGTGTGATGAGCTTTACGACACTTGCCGGATCAGATTGCATGGTGTGTGGGGTCAGCTGAAAAGAGCTTAGACACAGATTGTACAGTCAGATTGCATAGTGTGTGGGGAGCTGTACGGGAGATTGTACGATCAGATTGTAACATGTGTGGTGAGCTGAAATGAGATTGCGATGAGTACGGTTGGTTTAGAGGAGATTGTACAATCAGATTGTAACACATGTGGTGAGCTGTAGGGAGATTGTACGATCAGATTGCATAGTGTGTGGGGAGCTCTATGGGAGATTGTACGATCAGATTGCATAGTGTGTGGGGAGCTGTACGGGAGATTGTAGGATCAGATTGCATAGTGTGTGGGGAGCTGTACGGGAGATTGTACGATCAGATTGCATAGTGTGCGGGGAGCTGTACGGGAGATTGTACGATCAGATTGCATAGTGTGTAGGGAGCAGTACGGGAGATTGTATGGTGTGTGGTCAGCTGGCATAAGCTTAGACACAGATGGTACAATCAGATTGTAACGTGCGTGGCCAGTTACGGTCAGATTGGAGGACGATCGTATAACGGGCCCCCCCCCTCCCCCCGAGGCAGAACAAACAAATCATCCGTGTTGCAATTTTTACGACCAATCCCTACCGCTGCCCGACGTCCCTTTATCCACGGACCCGCGCGCGCGCGTGTTCACGCCGAGTCCGCGAGAGACGTCCGCATCTGGCAAACCGCGCGAGCGGCACAACGACGTCCCTTTGTTACCGGGAGAAAAAAAAAGAATTTGATC